CAGACTATAATCTTTATTTATAATCAAACGCTCTTAGAAAACGCATACCTCTTGCACGACCGGATTTCACGCCATATTGTGCCGCTCCCTTGTTTCTAAATGCCGGGGGGGGGTATTGGAAACAGGCCATGGTATGTGAACATCTGCAGTGCCGGATGCATCTCGCATCGCTTTGTTTGTTTGTAAAATCCACTTGGCGCTCGTTTCGAACGATGTTTCAGCAGCCGTTCGTAATAAGCGTGAGGTGACTACAGGGAACCAACTGATGCCAGATACATCTGATACTGCATAATCACTCAAATGCCACGAGCCCATGGCTTGCATAAATGCACCTCAGCAAAGAGGAGCATATGACCGGTGCAATATGCGGTAAAGTCTAGTCCTGGATGAGCTAAGTGTAATATCAAACTTTCTCCAGCAATTCGTGTTTGCCAGCGTTCTACAACTCCATTTTCATCTTTCACCGCTGTCGCAGTAAGATCTTCATTTAAATTTAAAATCTTCTTCATTTCTAAATGTTGTATTAGTAATCAGCGAGTGCTTGTCTAGAAAACAACTGTGTCGCCACTCGTATTACCTTTACATGTGTTACTGAATACTTTTCATTAACCGCGTTTCAGCTAACTACTGAAAAATTTTACTGTTTTGCAGCAGCAAAATTAAACGAATAGGGGAGCGAATGAATGAACGGTAAATTACAGAACTTATTGGCAAAACAGTGAATGAATGATCGAAATTCATGACTGAGTTTACGCAGCAATGAAAGAGTCCATGTAAGAATGAAAGTTCATTCATAAACAACGCCGTTCTCTGTGTCATTTTCCAGATTCTGATGCTGCATCGTTCGCTCTTAGTGAGAAATTTATTCTAAATCCATAATTATGGTTCAAGCACCAACTTTTAAAAGTCTGAACACCGTCTAAGCGTTTCACTGCAGTAGTATACGAGTTTCACCATTACAACGTTCTTTGGTCTTAGAAAAGTTGTTTATCAAATACTGCCAAATCATTTTTTCAATTTACGGTTTGCGCTGAAAAACATTTCTGCCGATCTATTCAAGCAGTAAATTATGTACTATTTCATCTTAACATCTAAAAGAAATATACAGCAGTAGGAATAAAAACTTAGCATATGTTATGCATATAGTACTTCATATTATTATAACATGTTGTTTTTTACACTGTCATCATCAGTCTTTCTCGATTAACTGTCTGATGGAGGACTGTCGAAGATTTTGCCAAAAAACTGTCCCTCCTGCGATTCTTGTCCATGTTGCTGCAACAGCTTTTCCCCGGTCACTTTACCATTGATAAATGCTCTTCCCACGGGCAGCCTACTGTCAATTAGAACTCTGTTTAGTATCCACTGATCCAGCGATTGCTTGTCGGTACTTCTAGCAGCGTGTCCTACCCATCACCATTTCAACTTCTTCCATCTTGAAATAACATAGCAGACCCCCGTTTCCGTTTATACTCTTCTCCATTCATTCGTCTTCTTATATGTATAACATACCTTCCTTCGCTGTGTTGCACAGTCTTCTGGTTATGAATGGCTTTCAAGATTAGGTCCCACGCTTTGCATCCATCGGTTACCAATGGAAATACTTCTTGATGAAAGAACTCCCTTTTCAAGTAGAAGTGCAGTTTTCAGATGGAAACATTTTCAAACTTCCAAAACTGCTTCATGCTATTCTTAATCCCTTGCTGATTTCCCTTAGTTGGTTCTTCGGTACAGCTATGATATCAGCTGCACCAGGCAGAAGTGGTTTGAGCCTCTTCATATCTGCTTGCGTTAAATAAAGCTATTTGAGTTTTGTCATCGTCATCATCTAAGCATAACTGCAGGTTGCACAAAATTAACGATGTTTACTTATCTCATCTATTCATGAGTACTACTACCATTATAACATTGTCAGTAAACCACAGATGAGCAACATATGGCATAATACTATTAATGCCCAATGTTACAATACTATATGCTATACATATACACTCATCATCAGTAGTTCCTATGCATCACTGACAGCGGGGTGATCAGTTATTACGGGCCACATTACGAATTATATAAATATTCATAATTAACACATTATGATATAGTACCCCTACATTATCCACTGACACTAGTGCGCTATATGCACTACTGCAAGAGTACTGTGCCATAACACC